TGAGCCATATTGAGTACAAGGTTGTACTATTGTAGAAAGTTACATTGAGCCTGGTAGTCTAACTGGTTGGATTTCTTGAGCCATAAAATTTACTCAAAATCTGGCAAAAATCTCAGTCTTCAACTCCAACACAATCAGATGTGAGGAAATTTCTTTTTAGATCTGTTTGCATGCAGATCCTTCAGAAAGGAGGAAGTCCCTTAGAAAGAAGCTATGGTACAGACTTTCAAGTAAATCAAGGCTTGAGGGTACGCTGAGATGGTGGACGACTCTGTCCAAAATGGAGGTTGTCTAGGTACATATAAACTTAGCTATTTAAGCTATGAAACCCAAAAGCTAGGTGGCCAGAATCATTTAGGAACAAGTGGATTTGAGGGGGAGAAAACACTCATGGCTCATATGAGCCCTTGATGTTGAGGACTTATGCAAACTGGCTTTGAGAGTCCCAGTCCTACGAATCACTTTTTGCCAGGCAGACAGAATGAGAGCTTCGCAGAATGCGGGGTCAGATCCTTCCCTCCACACACTGCTCTTCTGCTGTGCCCTGCTCAGATCTCTCCTGCAGGCATTGCTAATGTGGCTTTGACTTCTTCCCTAGCTGACTCACTATTTCACTTCTACTCTTCAGGGGAAGAGAAATTTCTGCTAGACCTTCCAGCATCAGAGATGAAGTATTCACCGATTGGAATGTTAGCACCTAACTATCCTGTTTCCTGCTATGCCACCGACTTGCTCTGTGGCTATAGGTCTGTCAGTATCCTGAGGCTTTCCTCAGTGATAATACTTCCCTACCACAGAATGGTGTGAGATTTAACTCTCGTTTTTATCAAGTGCCTTTGAGAGTCACAGACCAAAAGAACCAGAGAAGTGCTGGGAAATTTGTTTTCTCTCTGATAGATGAAACAGAACCATATTTCCAAGTTTTGGCTCTTATTGGCTGACAGGGAAAAGAACACCCAGGGGCTTGCAATGGTCTGTGGATAGGCCAGGAGAACTTCAGCTTCCTGGGGTTGTGAGGGCTGGGACCAGGTCTGCAGACTAGGATTCTAAAATTCTGGCATTTTCTAGTCTTAATCTACTGTTTTAGTGTGGACAAAAGAGCACTTCTGACAACACACAGGGACCAGGTTTCTTCCTGCTAAGGGCTAAGTTTTAGTCTGTTCCCAGGTGAAGTTTCTTTCCTGATCGCCTGACCTGTCAGTGTGCTCTTGATACAGGTGCTATTGTTTGTTGGAGTGGGAACCCCATCGTCATCTTAATTGTTGGTGGGCTGCATCTGTACCGCTGGCTCCACAGGCAAGGCAAGATGCTATTTGACTGACTTTTTCGTGGCTCAGAACTGGTATTGGCCTATTTATTCATAGCATTCTCAGGCAAAAGGGATGGATTTGAAAAGGCAGCTTGCTCTTTGCCTCGTTTTTCTCTTCCTCTCTCGCCCTTTCCTGTGTATTGATTTATTTGCTTATGCCACATTTCCCAGATTCAGCCACACAAATGAAGAAGCATCTTCCACTGGCCCAAGTGTGGGTGTTTGCAGAATTTATAGTTTGAATTGTAATAAAATTCACAAATAATGATTTACTTCCTCTGCTTCTTGGGTTTCTCTAATGTGCTTTCTGCGCCCCCTTTTAAAAATTTCCCTCCCTTTGTGGCTCAAGGCTTTACAAAACAGCAGCCTTCTCCCCAGCTTCAGGGGATTAACACCTTCTTCCTGAGCCTGCATTGGTCGGGGTGACCGTATTTGCATGAGGGCTAAGGATGTTAAAGACTAGTCAACAAGCAAATGCTTATTGGATAGTCAGTTGACTAGTTGATTTTTCTGCCACCTTTATCAGATAGAGGCGGCAAAGGAGAGTGGAAAAGGGGGTACTTCAAAGGGCAGCACTGCACAGCAAATCCTGGCGGCATTCAAAGGGGCAGTGCCTCACAGCTGATCCCTGCCTCAGTTGAGGGGCTGCCCCTTTGAAACGACACCTCTGTGACATTCAAAGGGTAGTGCTGCCTAGAGCCCAGGGGCAGCTAGGGACTCCCCAGCTGATCCCATGCTCCACGCGGCATTTCTGTGGAACCCAGGATCAGCTGGGGAGTCCCGAGCTGACCCTGGGTTCTGGGGAAATGCCGCATGGAGCCCACGGTCAGATGGGGAGTCCCCAGCTGATCCCGGGTCCCGTGGAAATGCTGCGCAGAGCCTGGGATCAGTTGGGGACCCCGGGCTCCATGTGGCATTTCAAATTGGCAGCGCAACATGGAGCCTGGGATCAGTGGTGGACTCTGAGTCCCCTGCTGACCCTGGGCTCCATGAGTGCGCTTCTGCTTTTAAATGCACCAGAGCCCCCATTGGGGACTCTATTTACATTTCAAAGCTGGCACCCACGTGCAGCCCGGAGTCAGCGGGATTTCCCATTGGCCCGGGGCTGAACAGGGTGTTCTGCATTCCTCCATTGAAATGTACAAGAGCCCCAGTGGCATCCTTAATGAGGGCCTCAGTTACACAGAGATTCTAACTTCCGCAGTACGTCACATCCCGGCTTTGAGTTCTGGAGCTGATGCAAAACTCTCCGGAGTTCAGCATTTGTCTGTGTCAAAAGTATTTAGCATATAATATAGTTTAGTGCAAGATTATACATATTTATTTCAAACATTGATTTGGCATCCATCATTGTTATCTAAGGAGCCTTGTAATATTTAAGTTGGGGCCCTAGAAATCTCAGAGAGAGAAGCCAACCCAACTCTTCCCTGCTGGTTGCACCTTTACCGGCCAACCAGGATTTAATCAATTGGTAAGACTTGCGCAAAGGCCTTTGTATTGTAGCTCTGGAAGCAGATAGGCTGGTATTTCTGCAGGGCGTGAATGCCATGGGCTTGGAATTGTTGCCAGGAAAATTCTGCCACTAGCACTTGGTTTACCTCTAGAATAGGGGTAATCAGTTTTTGTCAGTCCAGATTTCTCAGGAGAGGTATAGTCAAGGTCCAGACTTCAGAGGAGGTAATACTGAAACAATAGCAATAATGATTAAAAAAGAAAAAGATTTCACAGTCCATTCCAAAATGACAGTCTGGATTTGGTCCTCAGTACACCTATTGACTTCACTTTCTAGAGAGGTGTGTCCCCAATTCAGGTGAGCAGTACCTGGGATAGCCTAGCTCAGGAATGAGCACCTCCATTGCAAATCCGTATCCTCATTACTGCACCCCACTGCTTCTGTACTTGTCTGGGGATGTATCTAATGAGGTTTTTTTGTGCTGAGATGCTCCATAATTGTTTCCCAGTCAGTTGCAGGAGAACTTTGTTTGTTCTTTGGGGAGAACAGAAAGAGGTTTGGAGACCTGTCAGCATCTCAGTGATATGGGGGTGGAAGCCTGCGTTTTCATTGCAAAATCTCACTGACTATACCTCTGTTTAGCTAGGCTACGTCTACACTGGCATGAATTTCCGAAAATGCTTTTAACGGAAAACTTTTCCGTTAAAAGCATTTTCGGAAAAGCGCGTCTAGATTGGCAGGATGCTTTTCCGCAAAAGCACTTTTTGCGGAAAAGCGTCCATGTCCAATCTAGACGCGGTTTTCCGCAAAAAAGCCCTGATCGCCTTTTTCACGATCGGGGCTTTTTTTGTGGAAAACAGTACTATGTTGTCTACACTGGCCCTTTTGTGCAAAAGTCTTTCGGAAAAAGACTTTTGCCCAAACAGGAGCAGCTTAGTTTTTTCCGGAAAAGCACTGATGATTTTACATGAGATCGTCAGTGCTTTTCCGGACATTCAAGTGGCCAGTGTAGACAGCTGGCAAGTTTTTCCGGAAAAGCAGATGATTTTCCGGAAAAACTTGCCAGTCTAGACACAGCCCTAGAGTGTTATAGGTCAGAACCAAGGTCTGCATTATGCCCTGCCAGGTCAGCTAGGCTGGGTTTGACATGGGTTTTCAGTGTCTTAGAGTAAAAACAAGGAGTTTTGTGGCACTTTTAACACTAATGTATTTGGGCATAAACTTTCGTGGGATGCATGTTCAAGAAACCTTATGCCCAAATAATGTTTTTAGTCTTTAACCTGCCACGGGGCTTCTTGGTTTTGCTGAAACAAAGTGGTTTTCTGTGTGGCTGGTAAGGGGAGAAGGTTAAGACCGGTGTGAGCTCAGGTTAACTGTAATTGAAGACCTACCCCAAGACATCAAATTCCAGTACTCTTGGCAAGAATGATCCTGCCCTCCCCACCCCAATTTTCTTTTTCTGTGATAGTCCCCATTTCCTTTTTTCTAGTTTTTGAGTGGTACATGGGCTAGTTTGTTGTGGCTCAAGTTCTCTGACGTGAGGGGCAGCAGTGTTTCTTGGCACTACCATGGATTTCCCTAGCACCTTCCATTAAGGATCCTGTAAACAGGTTCGTCCCTCAGAGTCCACTAAGAGCTAATCTTATCACAGAGAGTTAAGCCTGGGTAGTCACCATCCAGGCCGGTGGCCCTTTTTATTACGCAAGTTCGCGTTTACACCCGAGCCGGATCGGCCTGTCGGCGGAGTAGGGGGGTTCGGGCCCGCCCCCTCTCCGAACCCCGGCCCAGGGCCCTAAAGGCAGGGACCCGTGGTCCCTCCCTAGCGGATGGGGGAACGCCCCAAAACACACCCGCTCACGGGCTCCACGACCCCGCCCTGGGCCGCTTCCTACTCCACCAGGCCTCCCGGCCCACTTCCCTTGACCTCTCCTGCCTCACCTCTTCCTCCGTCCCTCCTTCCCTTGCTCTGTCCACCGTCCTTCCCTGTACCGTGCCAGCCCCGGGTTTAAATCCCCCGCCGGCTCCTTTCCCCCTCTGCGTCACTTCCCGAGCGACGCCTCCCGGCCACCCTTCCCCCGTGATGTCATCCCCCTGCACCTCCCCGGCCCCTCCCTCTAGGGCCCGACTGGGCGGCGCCC